CCGCTCCGCTCTGAGGGTGCAGCGTGTCCCTCCTCCTCTCCCGCCCAGGAGCCATGTGCACATCCAGGCTCTTCACCCTGGTCCTGGTGGTGCAGCCGCCCCGCGTCCTCCTGGGCATGAAGAAACGCGGGTTTGGAGCCGGGCTGTGGAACGGCTTCGGGGGGAAGGTGCAGCCGGGGGAGAGCATCGAGGAGGCCGCTCGCAGGTGAGGTCTGGCCCGGTTCGGGTGGTGCCCGGGAGAGAGGCGGGGGTTGGGGGATCTGGAGGTGTTAGACCATTCTGGTGGGCTGCAGGTGGAGTTACCGTGGCTTGGCTGATCAATAACACCCTCATAACCAGTGTGTTACCCACCAGTGCAGTCGTGAGCCATCTCTGAACAGAGAAGACCACCCGCTCCACTGGAGATGAGGGATCTTCCACACATACAAAGCAATGGGGTTGCTCCCTGTTGCCTGTCACCTGCAAATCTTTAACTGTCATCCCATCTATGAGGAACTGGAAGTTACTGAGTATTCTCCATCCCATCTCTCAGACTATGATCTAAACCAAGACTTACTTTGCTAGTGGTGGGCAGAGATTCTTGCACTGTTCAGAAAGGTGGAGAGCTTAATTTTGGCTATATGGCAGGATTACAGCTTAGGCCATTGTACTTATTGTTTAAGTTTTGAAGCTATTGAACAGGTGCTACCTTCCACTAGCGTATCTAGTATGGCATGAAAATGTAGTGACAAAATATTAAAGAGATTCTCAGAGGTCCCTTAAAAAAGGCACCGTAGAAATTCATTATTTGACTGCATGGAGATTTTTTTAAGCCCTGCTGCTGAGTTAGTGAATTGAATTCCATCAGTACAGATGTACAGTACCATTTTGGAAGCTTTTAGTACTGATTTCTTGAAGTTGTTTCTTCTGTCTAGTCATTAAAATGAAATAGCAGGTTGTGGCTGAATTGCTAAATTCCTCCAAAAATTAAGTACCTCATTCTTTCCATGAACGTTACTGGTACAGAGCCACACTATGCCACCTCCTCACTTTCTGGTACATGCCCCAAATTGCCCTCACACCTGCAGGAAGTTTAGTGTTGGAGTGCTCAACAGCTACCTAACAGCTTTTGCCCTGAACCATCTCCTCAGCTGTGCTTGTGCAACTGCCTGGGTTCTGTGGTGAGCTAATCCAGGGGCCAGAAGGGTCCTTTGTGCAGATGTGCACCCAGCAGTGCACGGGGCTAATGTACCTGATGCTTACATCATGGCTTTTCCTGTAATTTATCATCTCTGAGTGGAGGAAGGTCATTTTTTTTTCCTTAAATCAGGCCTTCATCTGCTAGGCTGACATTGCTACTGACTGTGGTGTAAAACTAATGACTTAATTTAGCATTTGATTTCCTAGGTGTGTATTTATCTGTGCCAGCCTGGAGTTAGAAACTGGAGGTTTCCACTGTGGAACGGACTGTCCTCAGCCCCTTCAACATAGCTGGTGGGAGTTTACTGCAGAATGACACAACTGATTAAAAAAGGTCAAATGAGCAGGAAGCAGTCCCCAGAGCCAGGGCCAGCTAGGCACACAGCCCACCTTCCTGGTGGGAACACCACCAGTGCAGTGCTGCCTCGGGGTGCAGCTCTCTTCCAAGGGGTGTCACAGTCCAAATCAAAGTGAACTGGCACCACCTCCGCTCTGTATTCAGCACTCAGGCACTATGCTGTGGTTCCACGTTGCACTGTCCCAGTTGGGTTTGCAGCACCATAAGGTGTGAAGTGTCCTCACAACACAGATTGTTCATGTTTCAGCTTAATATTTAACTAGAGTTTCCTCTGTCAGTAAGATTTCTGTTCTCCACTGTGTATGCCACATTCCCACGAGCACTTGGGCATCCACAGCTCTTCAGCATCACATCTTACAGGGGAAGCATTTAGCTAGTTCATTATTTCTAGTTTGCTACCTGTAACATTTCCCCTTATGATACAGAGAGCCAAACAGCTGACAGATAAATGGCTTGGTGAACCACAGCAGTGTTGTGCTTTGTTGTTCAATTATCACAGCCTGTAAAAATGAGGCTTTTAGCTTTGTTGCTGGAAAACTGACTATTTTAGACGTAGTTTCTCTGGAAGATAAACTAAAGTTATCTTAAATTAAGTTGGAAAATAATTGTGAAGGATAGAATTAATGAAATTTATGCCAAAGGAAGCTGGAGCCTTCAAGATAATTTCCATTACATTTTAAAATTGTTAAGTTACTGCCAAACATGCAACTAGATTAATTATTAACCTTAACTGAAGATACACTATTTCAAAGTATTCCTTATTTTTGCACATTAGAAATGTGCATGACTAACTTCAAGCTACACTGATTCTGTTAGAGGCAGGTGAAAATAAAAAAGCCCTAAGTGCCTAGCACAAACAGAGCAAATAATTGAATGTGCTTCAAGTAGCCATGCATGGTGATGTATGGAAAAAAACCGTCTGGTGAGTCTCCCAAAGTTCTCTTAAAAATCTTGCCTTCTAGCCTCTTGTGGTGCTCAATGTACTTCCAAGGAGCAGAAATTGAAAGTTTACCCAATTGCTCTGTGATTTTTGTATGGTATTTGGATGGGAGATGGTACTCCTAACACTGTGTGCAAATCACGCTATGTAGTGCGTAGCATTACTTAAACAAGCTTCAGTTAGTCTCAGACGTAGCTGATTCTGTGGCAAGTACACGTTCTAGTATTTCCTACCTGCTTCTCTGCAGGTCTCAAAGCTTTAGCTTGAAGTGGGCAAAGCCTTTTGCCCGTCTAAATAAAGTGCATCTCAGAATTCTCATGCTACATCCAGCTCTAGTTTAATACATACAAGCATTAGCCCACTTCTATCAAAGCTCAGAAAAGATCGTTGTGTTGTGAGGAGTGTAAATTATAGTAAACAATCAATTTTCCTGAATTTCCCCCTTCCTACATAAACTGTTTTCCTACCAGCCTTTAGAAGCGGGAAATAACACAGGAGCCAGGCTGACATGGCCCCGCTGTGGCGCAAGGAGGCTCACAGAGCTCCGCTGTGCCCTGCCCTGTTTTACAGGTGCAGCTTTCACCTTTGGTTCACTGGAAGCGTTTTGAATGTGGGAGTAAAACTAATGACTGCTTTTGTGCTCTCCCCCTGCTTGCTTTCATGTAAAGTAGTCTGTTTCTTGTGCAGGGAGCTCCTGGAGGAGAGTGGACTGACTGTGGACACCTTGCAGAAGATGGGTCAGATCACATTTGAATTTGTGGGCAACTCTGAACTCATGGAAGTTCACATTTTCCGGGCAGACCATTTTCATGGAGAGCCAACAGAGAGTGAGGGTAGGTTGTTGGTGCGTTACCCTGAGACAGTTTTGCTCTTAAGAAATGCAGAATTATTCATGCCAAAATCCCTTTGAGAAGGGAGGCAGCTGGGCAGTAGCAGGGAAGCTGCTTATTAACAGATATTCAAAGTCTAAGCAGCAAAAAACCAAGATAAAGTCTCATGCAAAGTTCTTTTGTTTTCTCCCACCAGAAATGTGTCCACAGTGGTTTCAGCTGGATGAGATGCCTTTCAATCACATGTGGGCAGATGATATTTATTGGTTTCCCCTCCTGCTTCAGAGAAAGCTGTTTCGTGGCTATTTTAAGTTCCAGGGACAAAACACTATCCTGGAGCACACCCTGAAAGAAGTAGAGGAAGTTTAAGAAAACGGAAGCATTCAACCCACGTGCTGCTGCCCACATTGGGCTAGAACACCATCAGTACTACTTACAAGGGTCTCCTTTCTCCAGCAAAGGAGACTTGTTTCCCAGGTCACTGGGAAGTAGGAAAAATAAGGAGACTTCTTAGAGCAGAAATAAAAGTGATGAGATTGTCCCTGGCTGTGGTATAGTTTAGTGGTTACATGATCATAACTATTAAAAAAATCAGTGTTAACCCTTTTCTTCCCAGGTGGCTAATTCTTTAGGCTTTTCCCTTGTGGCTGGAAATGTTTTTAAAAGATTAAAGTATTTTTTAGTAAAAGCCTGTGTTGTTCTGTTGTAAACAGCTGGCCACCTTCCTGGCTGTTTAAGGGCTTTCAGGAGTTGGCTTCCCTTCACAGGAACATTAAGCGGACTGTGATGCAGCACAATCCAGTGCCAGTTTCTACTCAGCATTACTTACTGGGACAAGGTGACAACTTTCAACTTTTGAAAAGTTGAGGTAGAGATCCCTTCAGCCCCAGCTGAAAACAGCATAGGAGTGAAGAAGACAAAAGCCAGAGGTAGATGGATGATGCTGTTCAAGCCCTGCTTTCACTCTTACAGCTCCAGCCGTGCACTTGAACTATTCTGAGCATTTCAGGTAGAAATATGCTGAACAAAATCAACTTTCAGCAAGTCCATGTTGCAAAGTGTTGTCACCTATTGCTGCAGGGGGGTAGCCAGTGACTTGTTCAGCATTCAGGCAAGCCCAACTCAGCATGCTGGGCAGCAAAAGCTTCATCAAACTGTGCTAGAAATAATACATCACATATGTAACTTCTTACACAAGTTTTGTTGGTGGGTTTTTGTTTGTTGGTTTTTTTTTTTTAAACACTTGTACAAACACATATAACACTTACAGATAGAATCTTGGAATATAATAGAGGATCTGTAAACATTTCCAGTCTACCAGCTGTAGTAATAGTTCTTTAATTCCCGCATTTGGATAAAGTGCTTCATACATAAGGCTATTTGAGCAAAAGCAAAGATACAGGATATTCCAGGCAGGCAAAATTCACACCCTCTGAACAAGATTGTTTCTTCTTGTCTCCCTCCAGCAGTTCTGAATAATTTATACCACTCAAAAATGCCCTTCTTCATATGCTCAGTAAGCCACAGCTCAGAGGATGAGCTAACACCTTAGACTCTTACTTTTCCTTTTGTGCCACGCACTTGAGTTATTTACAGAGGTTTTGATACTCACCTCTGCTTCTGCCAGAGCAGTCAGGGTTCCTGGCTGCTCCAACGGAGAGAATGGCTTGAGGCAAGTGGAGGAGAGAAAATAAGCACAAGGGGACAGGTAGCTTGTAACAGAATGTAAGGTAGGAAAGGGAGTGACTGGCAGCTGATACCTGTTATGTTATCCCGATTTATTTCCTGGTGGAGACTGTAAATTGCATGGTGAGAGAGAGCAAATTACTTTCTGTTCCTCCAGGAGTTCAGGTAAGAGGAGAACAAGTGCAGCTCCGGCCTGCACTTCTATTTGCTATTCCCTCTTCTGCAGTCAGCTCACTCCTTTTATGAAGCTGCTTTCACCCACACTGACTTTTAGCTCATGTCAAAGAGTAGTGATGTTATTGCTCCTGCTGCAGTTGTGGAGACTGATATGTTTTAAGTAAGTTCTGTCCCCAGCTGGTGATCTTTGTCTTTTAGGAAAGAACAAAAATTGAAGATTGTGAATTAGCCTGTTAGAAATTCCAGGAATTACACCCTTGTGTGATCAAAGTAGAAGAGTAAAAGCACTGGAATGCAGCAAGGCACTGCTGAAAACACATTACAACTTAGGAGGAGCAACTTGCAAGGAACATAGAAGGAGAGGGAAAGAAGGATCAAAGATTAAGGTTGTATTGTAAATATATTTTGGAAAGCCTTTCAACACATGAGAGCGGTCAAAAAGCCTGTATATCACCACTTCTCAGCTTGAAGCAGGGACTTTAGGAGTGACAAACACATAGAGCCCTTTTGCTAAAACATTTTCCAGGCAGTTTCAGGTTCTCAGCTTTTCACTACCCTGGTGCTTCCACAACAGGTTTTGAGAGAGACACTGACAGAAAGGTTGGAGACCTTTTCTATCACTATTTTGAACGCACGAAAGTTCCCATGAGCTCAAGCAACGTACAGAAAGCTTCCACTCAAGAAGGCACGCTAACTCTTTGGCGCCACATCTTACAGGAGCATCAGTTCTAGGACAGGCAGCATACGTTCTCCAATTAGTCTTCTGGTTTGTTTAGTGTTCATTGCCATCTACCCAGCTACCAGCAATGGAACCAACTTCACCAAGTCTAGTTCTCACCCTTGCACATAGCTAGGCTGTCTGCTGCAGAAGGCAGCAGCAGGGAGGTAACTAGAACTGTTTCCCCTACATTGACCAGGGTAAACAGACCACTGGAGTCAACTTGATTGATTCCCTGCTGCATTCCTCTAGAGGAAGGAAGCTGTACGTGATGCTGCTCTCCAAGCCTGACAGATAACTAAACTAAACAGGACAAAGACAGTAAGGAAATTGAGGTAAACACAGTAGTGCCATTTGCACACTGACCAGTCTCCCAAAAAATAAGGTTTGCAAACTAAGGGTCGTTATGAAATAGCATATGCATGTGTTTAGGAGTGAGACAGAAGCTTGACAGTCCAGTATGACATAAACTCTGAAAGTGCCATTAGCTGTATCAGCTTTGAGAATACTAGGCCTCTGTTCTCAAAATACTAGGTGAACAGTAAAATCCAAACAAGAAAACCCCACCCCCAAAACCGCTCTGCTCAAAGAGGCAAGGGCTGACAATGGAGGATCGGGTGTTTTCTCCAAACAATATCATTCCAGTTTTTTTATAGGTCATGTGGTCTGCATTTATCATTATTCCAGTCTCTGTATTTGGACTGTAGAATTCTTGCTTGGAAGGAGAACAGGAAAGGAGTTAGTCTAAAGTCCAAATGTGGTTTTGATGTTTGGCTTTTGATTTTTGTTTTTAAATAAAGTCCAAAATTGTAACTTTTTTCTAAATATGAGAAGTGCAAAGTTCCATTCAGGCTGATACTTTGCAAGTGCTTTTATACAGCCCAGTCATCTACCTCAGCCAGACAAGTCACATAGAAGATCCATCACACAGATATTGGATCTTGCCCTAAAACATACGTATTTTCTCAATTTGACTGTTCACCTCATCAGGCAAACAAGGCTAAATGAGGGAGCATGGGTGCTAAGACTAAGCAAATGACAGGCCATAACCAGCCAGCACCTTCTAAAGATGCTAGGAGTGAAGGGCATTTAAAAATATGCCTTCTGCATTTTAACCACAAACTATCTTCCTAATCAGGACAAGGTCAAACAGAAAAACCATAGCATTTTTGTGCCATCCTTGAGATAATATCTTCTTTGTTATCATACTGTAGAAACATTTCCCTCCCCAGCCAGTTTGCTCTGGCTTGTGAGCAGAGACTGACTCTTCTGCATCACTTTGAAAATCTTCAGGAGAGAGAATCAAATCTGTCACAGCCATGTGCAGTTAATCTGTCTCACTGGACAAGGCCAGTACATGGGTAGAAAGACTCAGGAGAGAGTTAACATTTGAATTGCTATAAAAAGCTCTTAATGCATTCTGAGCAAGGTTGTTAAAACGCCTCCCTACGCACTCCTGTAGGCCTGGCACCCCAGAAATTCACCCTCATGAAGTGCATTTTACCACTTTTTCAGGGGTGTGTGTAATGGTTATACCTGTCTCATGAAACTGAGCAAGTAACTTATTACATTGATCCTAGCTGAAGAAACTAACCCGTAATTTCCACCTGGACTAGAAAGAGCTTCATGTTGCATTGAATTTTCTAAATTAAAAAAAAAAAAGCACTTTTGGGATTGGAGGATTTAAATATATTTCCTGCTAACGGGGAAGTTCCCCAATGGGAAAATACTGTAACGGTTCCAGTTTGACAGCAAGAACTCATTCTTCTTAATCTGCTTCCTTTCTACCCACTCTAAGAAAATACTAAGAAATCCAGTTTCAAATTCCCCTTTGGCAGCTATTTTGGCCCCAGAGAAGTTCAGTTCAGGGGAGTCCTGGTCACATAGAGTTTTGCTGCATATGTTTGCAGTTTCTTCAATTATCAGTTTCTCTGGCAGATACGCACAATTTCCCCTAAGGTAACATGAGGTGCAAGTTCTCCTCCCCCTACCCTTTGCCTCTTGAAGGAAAGTCACCAGAGATACAAAGTGAAACATGGAGAATGTTTAGTCCTTTTATCACAACCACAAATCATTCTGAAAACCCCATTACCAAGGACTGTGCTATTTTTAGAGAGATAAAGAACTGTCACTTAATCGTCAGCTCTTCTTCACAAACACACTCCAATGCTACCCAGAGCCAGAAAAAAACAAACAAACAAAAAAAAGAGTAACAGTGACATCCTGATAAATACTGATTTTTTTCCTAATGAACTTTATCAGCACTGTGTCCCAGCCCGCTGGTGTAACAGGATACTTCATCTGAAACTAGACTAAAGAAAACACCAGCCTTGGGGTCAGCAGCTCTCCAATAGTCCTAAACAGCTACTCAACAGCTGGATGTCAGAACCTCTGGAAGAAAATAAATCAGGTACCCTGTAGCTGTTCTGCTCGTATAGCAGGTGTGGTTTAAAATTAAGGAGTGTTTTATTCAATTATTTTCTCATTCATGCCAGGCAAACTCCTCTGAGTTCCCAAACGCAGTCATCTTTGGCCCTAAACTGAAAAATATAAGTCCCTAGGCTGCCCTGCAACTGTGAACTGAAACACACCGACAACACTGCCTGGTGTCACCGGGAAAATCACTGTCACAGCAGCACTGACCCCTACCCAGCCGGGTCAGCGAATCCAACCACTTCATTCATGTATTTTGTGCTAATTTCTAGCAGTAAGAAATCAAATCCAGACACCTATCAATGAGATGAGGGATGGCTTTCATCTTTCCCCAGGTACATATGCCCCTAACACA